AATGGAGAAGATTGTAGGAGGCCTATACCAACTGGCAAACGGATCTGTAAAAAAATAGTAAAAACCAAATTCATGAGATTTTTTGCTTTTTTGTAACTTATTTTGTTTTTTTAAATCTGAATAAAAGGCTTGTTATTCTGAATAGCGCCGCGGAGATTATGAGAGATTAACGGGTTAACGGGGCTCCGGCTCGAAGGGCAGGAGTAGGAACGGGGTGGTTTTTAGTCAGTAAGAGTCTGACACTCCCTCCCGCCTCACCCGAGCAGGAGAAGCCATTCGATGAAGATATCCCATTAAAAAAATAACAACTATAGTATCTTATACTGAATTAAAAAAAAAATAACAGGTTACTCACTTTAAACCCAACAATACGCTAGGGGACGAATGACCCACAACATGCATGGGTGACACTTCAAGCGAAGCCTGCCGATTTCACCCGACATCTTTATGTACATATATAATTATTCTGTGAGTGTGGATGTCACTGAACTTGTCTCAAACGACTGGACCGATTTTGATGAAATTTTTTGTGTGTGTTCAAGGGGATCTGGGAATGGTTTACATGATTCACAAATCAGTCCGGCAGTTGGCGCTGCAGTCGAGTCTAGGTTAGTTATCTTAAACGGCTGAACTAATTTGAATAAATTTTTGTTTATACATTTAAGTGATATGCAGGACAACGTCTGTGGGGTCCGCTAATATTATTATAAGGTCGCGCGCCGTCGTCGATGTCCACAGCGACGTTGATGTTACCAGATATGTCGACCAAAATCCGGCAACGTCGCGCGATAAGTCAGAGCGCGAAGAGTGTTTGCATTGAAGATTTTATTTAGTGCGCACCCAAAAAAAAACTCCTATTCCCTCGTGCTCGGGTTTACTTACACTAATGAAATCAATTCGTTCCAGATCATTAACTCTACGTCGAATTGACATTAAAATAAACTTATTAATAATATTTATTAACATAAAATAAAAACTCGATACGAGTATAAATATTGCACCTCGATAACGTAAAAGTAATTAACGAAAATGATTGATTACTTATTGGAGATTTTAATTTAAAACCAACGAAGATTTCAACTTTTATTTACTTTAAATAAAAATCAACACTTTTTGATTAATCTTTTTGATTTCTCTCCGTGATACTTTCATTGGTCAAGAATTTCTGAAAAATATCTTTATAGAGATATTATGTTCGGGATATTGTGCTCTACAATTTCAGGAATACCATTATACTTATAGCTAACATAGTTAGCACCGAAGGGCTTAACGGGTTGCCTTGCCGGGGCTACGGCTCGACGTGCAGGAGTAGGAACGGGGTGGTTTTTAGTCAGTAAGACTCTGACATTCCTCGCCTCACCCGGGCGGGAGAAGGCATTGCATGATTTCCCCCCCAAAAAAAAGCTAACAATATTTCGATGTGACTACTTCCAATAAAACAGAAGCCTTAGTACCAGTTTGTTTTTCGTTAAAAGTAATCGAAACGAGACCGTGTTCGAAAGAAGGACTACTCTGATTGGTTGGTTCATTGGAGCCTGCCAATCAGACCACGTCGTGGTTGCCCGGAGGTTGAAGACGCCTGCTTCTCATGCACGAGGGTGCGGGCTCGAAACCTACCAACGGCAAGTACCAATGTGACTTTCTCCGAGTTATATGTACTTTCTAAAATTATTTAAACACCACTGACCAACGGTGAAGGAAAAACATCGTGGGGAAACCTGGGCTTATAATTTCCAATTATAAATTTAAATCGCCAACCCGCATTGAGCAAGCGTGGTGATTAAACTGTCAAACACCAAGCGGTCACCGGTGACCGCAACCTATTGTTCTATAATTGTGTCTACAAAACCGGTACTCGACGAGTTAATGCTCAAACCTTCTCCGTGTGAGAAGAGGCTTTGCTCAGCAGTGGGCATTTATAAGCTGTTGATGATGATGATGATTATGATGAATCAGACCACCGATCGTGGAAAAAAATTTCTTCAATTAGGAATGTTTTTTGTAAATGAATTTCTAATTATATTTAACTACTAGACTAATTCTAAGACCAGGCGTTATCCCTTTAATATGTTTATTAGGAGCTCGAAAATATTTTAACCATAGACTATCGTTTATCAATCGGCTTATCCCAGATCGTTGGAGTAAAAACTTTTTTACATTAATAATGCTCAGTGCTTTATCATTATTTTACCGAAATACATAACATACCATCACGGCTTTTATCCCCGAAGGTATAGGCAGTAGTGCACATTACGGCACTTAATGCCACTGCACAATGTATCACCCACTTTTCACTATTTATGTTATAAGTCTCATATAATAGGGGTGAGCCTATTGCCATATATTAAGCACAATTCCAGACTCCGTGCTTCTAATAGGATTTTTTTTTTTTTTTGAAAACCCCAGTAATTTGCCTGACCCGGGAATCGCATTTGCGTCTACTCAGCCAACGAGGCAGTCTGTTGACAACCGAAATACATATAATAATTAGGTATTATCATTTTAGATTCAAATATGGGACCACATGAGACCTGTAACATATTATAGGTCTCATGTGGTCCCGCCGATTATTTGTATTTAATGCAACTACTTAAGTTCCATTACTTCGTCTAAAATATTCAGTGATCGTGTCTTACGTACGTTTCATTTTAGCTTCGAGAATATAATATGCGTAACCCTAACTTTATATAATATTATGTATTTTACACACCTGAAAATATTTTAGAGAGCTAATAATAATTAAGCCAATTTCTAAATACGATTCTACGAAAATGTCCTTAGAGAGTGGAAATAATTTTGTTTATATAAATTAATAATTAAAATTATTATAATACTAGCGACCGGCCTCGGCTTCGCACGAGTGCGATATGCATGTATTATACATATAAACCTTCCTTAAGAATCACTCTATCTATTAAAAAAACTGCATCAAAATCCGGTGCGAACTTTTATAGATCTAAGCATACATAGGGACAGACAGATCGCGGATAGCGACTTTGTTTTATACTATATAGTGATATTTGTCTGCAAATGTCACGTACATTATAATAAAAATTAGAATATTATTTTACAAGGTTTTACTTAACTTCTGTCCTGATATCTGACTGAAATGGATCTGGTAAGTTCAGAAAGTCGATGACCTCAGAACTCTTAATTGTCTCCACGTAAAATTGAATCAATATAAGGTACATTTAAGCTTTTAAATACTAAGGCCTCTATTACCTATGTACCATGTGTCAGTTTAGATTGAAAATAGTTTTGTAAATATCTAGTATGTCTTGTTGCTTACTAGAAAAAAAATACATTCAGAATGGTCAAGACTGCATCCTGCATAATCCATGTCAAAGTCAAAGTCAAAATCATTTATTTCAATTAGACCAGGATGGCACTTTTGAACGTCAAACAACAAAAATTTTGAAGTGAAGAAGAAGAACGAGCAAGAAACTCCAATCAGGTTTACAATACAATTCTCTAGTTACATAGATGATGATGTTATCATCCCAAAGTGGTCTCTGATGTAACACTCCGCCTGGATGCCAGGGTGCTTCTAAAAAGAGGATGTGAAAGCTATTACATAGGACTCATAACATAAATAGTGAGAAGTGGATGATACATTGTTCTGTGGCATTTAACTGCCGTAATGTGCACATCTGTCTACCACTTCGGGGATAAAAGACGTGATGTTATGTTGTGGAAGCTATTCGGGGAAACTTATTGACCTATGTATGTTCAGTAGATGACTTTTTGTGTTCTAACATCGTGATGATAATGAGGATGCAGACATCAGAACTAAGTAATTAGTTGTACTGTTAACTGCCTCATTGTCCGAGTGGTCGCAAGTGCGACTGCCGGGCAAGGGGCATCGGGTTCGATTCCCGGGTCGGGCAAAGTACTACTAGGTTTAAAAAAATCTCAGTGGTAGCACGGAGTCTGGAATTTTGCCCGGTATGCACTATGGCACTAGGTTCATCCCCTATTACATGGGACTCATAACGTAAATAGTGAAAAGTAGGTGTCACATTGTACAGTTGCATTAAGTGCCATAATGTGCACCTCTGCCTACCCCTTCTGGCATAAAAGGCGTTATGTTATGTTAATTAGTTGTACATGCTACCACTACCAAACCCATCCCAAAACCAACACTCACGTACCAGCTAAACCTAAGCTAAAAAACAATAAAACAGAATACACAAATACAAAAAATATCGATCAATATTAAAGTCGCAATGACCCACATAGCGCGAGGCATGAGATGAGGCGAAAACAAGTCGACGGTGGCAATGCAATGACTCCTGCCTTACTTCGTCACGCGATCCGTCGCGTCGCGTCGCAAGCTTACCACCAGTTATTTGTTGCCTTCATACTTATTTAGACATGGCAATTCTTGTGTTTCTATTGGTTGAAGAAGATTGATTGGGAAATGTAATTACCATACATTATTCAATAATGATCTATCCTAACTGTTATGAGACACATTTTATAACAGGAGTCAAACCAATTAACTCGTCGAATACCGTCAATATAGACACAATTATAGAACAATAGGTTGCGGTCACCGGTGACCGTGCGGTGTTTGACAGTTTAATGAAGACAGAATGTGTGTTTGAAGTGGCAAAGAAGTTCGTTAAAGACATCAATAGCAAATCCTTCTTAACTTTTTCTCCTCTTCAGATGATATTAAAAGTAACTTTACTATTTATATTTAATTCTTTTCTGCAGATTAAATATTCTGTTAAGAAAAATATACATGCATACCTAATCATACTCAGAATTTTAATTCAACTAACTACGTAACTATTTCTCAAAAACAATCAACAATATAGTGTAAGAAATTCCACATAACCATCAACTTACAAAGCTAATCGCAAAGAAATATAACAAAGGCCAATTCTAAAACAAACAAAGTTCACAATAGCAGTTCCTTCGTCGCTATAACGACGGACAACCCCACTGTTTACGAGCCAAAGTCTGCACGAGAAACAGTAACGCACCACCTTCGAACACGAACACCCACCAATACCGGTACGATCGAACCACGTAACAACAAAACTAAAAAACAAGCAAAACAACATAACGAAACTAATAAACTAAAATAAAAAGTGACTAAAACATAACCGTCAATTAAAAAATTTCAAATATCGAAATGAACGTCCATTTTAAGTTTAACGTATTCGAACACCGGTTTCGTTTTTTAAAAGAACGAATTACATGTTTTAATTAAACCGTGCTGCCAGTTTGCTTGCTCCATTAGTTTTAATAAGTGTTTAAAAATGATCCGTGTGCTTATATTGTTATTGCAAATGACTCTAATTTTATCGGCGAGAGAACCAAAGCAAATAAACTTAGTGAATCAAGGGACGATTTCGGGGATGTACATCACGAGGTTTCGGACAAAAAGAATAGCAGCATACGTTGGAATACCGTATGCTCAACCTCCAATTGAGTTCAGAAGGTTTTTGCCCCCGGAATATACTGATTTACCTCAATGGGAAGGTGTGAGAAACGCGACCATATACGCCCCGGATTGCATGCAGAGTGACCCGAAAAAGGAGGATGTGCAAAACCCTTTGAAGAAACATGATGATCTGTTCATGAAGCTCTTGGATTCTCAAATGGAAGAAAAACGAAAGAAGGAATATTCCGAGGATTGTCTCTTCTTGAACGTGTATGTACCGGACGGTAAGTAACATTGTTATTATATTGTTTAGGGGAAATACAGGCTGAAATAGTTTAAGTTTGAATATAATATCGGCTTTCCGGTCTAAGTTGAACATGTAAACTGCATTTATATCTCGAATATTTGTGCCAAATTTTACAATTTATGCGACTTCATTGCCAAGGTATTTCGTGAATTTACTATATAACAAATCTATTTTACGTTGAGTGAAGTTCTTTATAAAATAAAAACATTTATTAATTCATTTTTAAAAATAGAATTTCTTATGTACCAATAATTTCATTTTAAATGACAAATTTTTTTATTTTCGATTTAAATGACGTGACATTTAAAGTATCTTCCTAAAATTAAGCATTCCTTTCAAAGCAGAGTTGCCATCAATAAAAATGAAACGTTCTTCAGACAAATTTCTGTCTTCAATCCTCTCTTTAGACAAGGGGATAAGCTGTGACAAATTATATTGCATCGATCATTTCGACGTTTGCGTTTTCGCGATACGACTGTCTTATGGGTGGTTTTCTTGCTAGGAAATGGTGCAGCTTAGTTTAAAATATCTTTGGAGAAAGGCTAAGATGTTTCATTTGTATTTCTAGAATAAGTTCGGAGTGTTGTTCAGAATTGTCGGTTCTCTGTTACATGGTATTGGTGGTAATTTACACAAAGACAATCAAATATCAGTTACAAAAGTTTTGTAGCTACGATGTTAAGATAAACTTGAAAAAACCTTCAGAATTCCCACTAATGAAACAGAGTTTAGCAAAACGTTCATAATACATTGTTGAAAATAAGTTAATTTCTGTATTATAATCTAAATATGAATCTAAACTTAATCTAAATAAGAGATATCATGACATTTTGGTACTTCTTCTTTTTGTTCATTTTAATTATGAAGAGTTTTATCAATAATGATTATGTCACACTCAATGTCAAAATTGTCATTTGACAGTTTTTAAAATGGAAGAATTGTCAAATATTCAAAGTTACCTATACTTCGGTTCAAATTTATCAGCCTTTAATAAAATTTAAAAACAGAACACTTATCTTAATTTAATAAAAACAACGGTATACTCTCGTAAATATACTGACAAAAGCTCTATTAGTTTCGAGTTATAGCGGGGCTCTTCCTCATGAACAGCGTGTGACGTCGCCGCGACCGCGCTCGAACTTCTGTGACTCGAAACGAATAGAGCTTTTCTCAATATATTTACGTGAGTATATCGTTATTTTTAATTAATTGACCCCGAATACGAAAGGCTATTCAACTTTAAGTTAAACTTACATATCGTGCCATCTCTGTCATTTTACAGAGAATTTGTAGTGACAGAACTATACTTATTTAGTGGCGTTTGAGTATTTGGACATCAGTGTGTCTCACAATAGTTATTATAAAAACAAAACACTTATCTATGTATGGATAATTCTAATTTTACTTAGTTACTAAATGAGCCCGCGACTTCATCCACGTGGAATAGTGATTCACAGCTCCTCCCCTGTAGGTGATAGCATGATAATATGTAGCCTATATGTTGACCCGATCTGTTAGTAATATTCATGCAAAATTTGAAGTAAATCCATGCAGCATTTTTTGAGTTATTCCCGAACATACATACAGACAAACAGACAAAAATTCTAAAAACCATATTTTTTGGCTTCGGTATCGACAGTAGATCACGCCCAAGCATTCTTAAAAAAAATATTCGATGATATTCGATGTGTACAATTCTCACTGTACTACGATTTTAGTATAATGTAATAGATTTTAACAGTTACTGTTGTAAAACATAAAGCAGTCGCTGAAAGCGCCTATCAATAATACGTAAACTCAAAAATAACTTCGTCAATAATTATTATGCTCTACAGTCAAATGCCTATTCTTAGTTGACATTGCAAGTTCTATAGAATTAAATCGATTTCTGTCGGCTTCTAGCGAATGTTGAAGAAACGTTTAGTTCTATCAAGTATTTAGGTACTATATTTACACTAATATTATACCTCTAGATGAGAAAGTTTCTTTGTTTTAGTGTTTGGATATTTGTCAGTCAATCACGTTGAAAGTACTGAACGGATTTTGATGAATTTTGGTATAAAGGCAGAGTATTTTTTTAAGCGGGGAAAATCATCGAATGACTGCTCCCGCCTGGGTGAGGCGGGAGGGAGAGTGCCAGACTCTTACTGACTAAAAACCACCCCGGTCCTACTCTTGCACTTCGAGCCGCAGCCCCGGTAACCCGTTAGGTTCTCCGCGACTCCGTATCGGCATCAGCCCTATTGGGCCCCATCCGTGGTGGTCTGATGGCTTTTTGAGATACAGGCAGGGTATGGGCTGACTTAGTTGATAGGATAATTTTTATCCCGATTAAATGCTTCCAAGGGATAAAATAGGAATCGTATTCTACGCAAATGAAGTCGCGGGCAACAGTTATTCTTACACAATTCTACATATATCTAATAATTTTATCACAAAAAAGTAATTATTACAAATTCAATAAATAACATTCATATTAACTATTAGGTACTAAATGAAAATATATACAACTTAAAATATAAATAACTATGAACACTATTTACACCTTAAAAAAATCTTAAGGCTAAAAAAAGGAATAACTGAATTAACTGACCGTATTACTAAGTGAAATATCTGATTGTTGTTTGAGTGAAATTTCACATTAATTTCTAATTCACTCGGATTTTTAACAGTTTAACCTAGATTGCAAAAAAATTACCAACCTGCCACTACTTGAATGAATGAATGAATGAATGAATGAATGAATGAATGAATGAATGAATGTCAATGAATGTCATTTATTTCTCAGTACATGGTGCACACAGATCTTAAAATTAACAAAGTTCCACACATACTACCGTTACCGGTGTAGAAATATAAAATTGTAATAACAGTATTAATTTATGTCTAATTAAAGAACAATTATATTAAAATTAGTATTATTATTATTGATAACAATTCAAATAAATTAAAACAGGTAAAGTCAGAAAATAAATTAGGAATGTCAATAAAATTAAGATGTCATGAAGAAATTATGTATCAGATATTGTACTTTATTGTATTATATTGTACTTTTAGATACTATGGTCCTTACATCCAATACTCAACTTTCTATTATTCAATATCATGTTTTTGCTTTCTAAGATTATTTAGACAAACTAAGGGTGAAGGAAAAACATTGTGAGGAGACTTGGGCTTCTAATTTCTAATTATAAATTTGTAATCGCCAACCCGCATTGAGCAAGCGTGGTGATTAAACTGTCAAACACCAAGCGGTCACCGGTGACCGCAACCTATTGTTCTATAATTGTGTCTATAATGACGGTACTCGACGAGTTAATGCTCAAACCTTCTCCGCGTGAGAGGCCCTTGGTAAGCAGCGGGCACTTATAGGTTGGTAATTATTATTTTTTTGACTTTAACAAAATTCTCTATTCAAATTCAAATATATTCCTACCCCATGTAGAAGCGCCTAAAATGTTTAACTCCTAAAAAACATACATTTAGAAAATACAGGCCCAACACTAAAAATGTCGTCTCCACCGACCTGTTTACATCTTCAAACATTATTTACGAATAAAAAAACTGTATAAAAGTCCTTCATTAACCTAGTTTAGGGGATACGAAGTTCCCCTTACGATCTGATAAGGGCCCGTTCGAAGGCACGTGTGTTAGACGCCATTGCTGCCCTACAATTGGCTGGTATGCGATTTATTCTGGATTTTTCCGGTTATTCATCAACCGAAGTTCTCTTTTATTCTTTGAACTTAATAGGCTACGCGTTGGAGGGAATATTAATAGACGATTTATGTTCGTATTTTATAAAAAAATGTTTTGAAAAAAGATAATGTTTGTGTTTTATTGTGTTGCTGTGTGTTGGTTGAGGAAAATTATTATATATATAAATAATGAAAATCTGAGTGAGATAATAAAATGATAGAAGCTTCCACAACACTTTCTTGTCCATACCTATGTCAGGATCCATTAAAATAAATCCAATTTAGATTTTTTAACGATAATATAGAGGTATGTAGTCGTGTTAGATAGTTTAAGTTCAAAAAAAACATCTTAATACCACATATGATATTTTGTACATCATTATCATTACATCACGCCTTTTATCCCCGAAAGGATAGGCAGAAGTGCATATTATTCTCGGGCATTTAATACCACTGTCCAATGTAACACCAACTTTTCACTATTAATGTCATGAGTCCAATGTAATAGGGGGTGAGCCTATTGCCATACATCGGGCACAATTCCAGGCTCCGTGCTACTACTGAGAATTTTTAAAAACCCAGTAATACTTTGCGCGACCCGGGAATTGAACCCGAGACTTCTTGCCAGGCAGTCGCAATTGCGACAGGCAGTCAGTATTTTGATGTTATACGTGTACCAAATTTCATTAAATTCCGTTCAGTAGTTTCAGCTTGATTGACGGACAAACATTCAAAGAAGAAAACTTTTACATTTACAATATTAGTGTAATTAATAGACAAAATAATATTTCATCAAAGACTAAAATACTACTTCCTTTCATCAATAACTTAATCGTTTTATCCATTCATCTGTAACGGTATGTTATTAATATTCATATTATTAAAGTAAAAGAAATTTCTAAGCCGATGAAATTAAATAAAATGGAAGAAGGATACTTATTTGTAAAGGCTCTTTTAGTTACCGTATTTAAATAAGTACTTACTGATGTTAATACTCAGTATTTGAAATAATTCTTTTATATAATACTAGCTTTTACCCGCAGCTTCGCTCGCGTCACAAAAGGATAAAAGTAGCCTATGCGACACATACCAATACACACAGCGCCATCTATACCAATACTTTTGTTTTCCCTCGGGAATATCAAATTTTTCCGGGATAAAAAGTACCCTATTATTTAATCCAGACTTCTAACTTTACGTCTGCAAAAATTCAAAGCAATCGGTTCAGTAGTTACGGCGTGAAAGTGGAACAAACAAACTCACTTTCCAATTTATAATA